TATATATATATATATATATATATATATACATGCACCAGACCCCTCCCTTTAAGAATGAACTCTCCATGCCCTCACCTGTGTTTGTGCGTCGCCGGCAGCGTTCTGTAAGCTAGCTTCCAGCTCGCCCCGACTCTTGTTCTCTCTCTCCAGGTCCATCTTATATCGCTCCAGCTGCTTCTGCAGCATGCGCACCTGTCGAGGAGGCAAGCGCACCTCGTTAAGTTAACGAGGAAACGTGAACAGGTGAGCGTGACGATGCATGTTGCGCCACATGCCGAGTGTTTCGCGAGCGCACGTGGGTGGGGGAGCGGCGCGTCTAACTCCTGTTCCCTTGTGCGCTTCTATCTCTCTGTACGTCCATGCAGGAGGGTGTGACCCAAACATGGAGACCAAGCACGCCCGTGTGACCCCAACATAAACACCAATAGACACAACATGGATATAAATAAATGCACGTGTTACCCCAACATGGATGTCAATAAACTCACATGTAACCCCGACACGAATGCCAATAAGCACACATGTAACCCCAACATGGATGCCAATAAATGCACGTGTATCCCCAACATGGATACCAACGTAACCCAAATATGGAAGCCAGCAGGAGTGCTTGTGACCCCAACATGGATGCCAAAAGATGCACGTGTAACCCCAACATGGACGCCAGCAGGCGCGCGCCACGTCACTGACCTGGTCCTGGTTTTGCCGCTGCTCCACCTGTAATCCCTGTAGCTGGGCCTCGTAGTTGCAGCACATATCACACGGTCGACCCAGCTTGTCCCTTGCGCTGCGAATCTAAAAAAAACAAAAAACGTCCGTCAGTGGAACCGATCTCTCGCGCGGCGAGGAAATCCACACACGCTATACGATTGCAGACGGCGGGTTCAGGAGAGGAGGGCGGGGGAGGCTACCCTAACCCTAACCTCAAGCCTAAACCTAACCCCAACCCCAAACCTAACCCCAACCCCAACCCTAACCCTAACGATAACCAGTAGGGAGGAACGATTAGTTGGTAGCATCGAGAATTTGCATCATCACGACAACATTTTAGGCAAGATTGCGGGAAAAGAACCCCCCCCCCCCCGAGTAGATGACGTTGGAGGACCCCTACCTGCTCACACAAGGTAGATGTCGTAGGAGGACCCCTACCTCCTTCTACAGGGTAATGTCGTAGGAGGAGCCCTACCTCCTCCTGCAGGGTAATGTCGTGGGAGGAGCCCTACCTCCTCCTACAGGGGGCGATGACGTAGGAGGACCCCCTACTTCCTTCTACGGGGTAATGTTGTAGGAGGAGCCCTACCTCCTCCTATGGGGAAGATGTCGTAGGAGGAGCCCTACCTCCTCCTACAGAGAGAGATGACGTAGGAGGACCCCTACCTCCTCCTATGGGGTAGATGACGTAGGAGGAGCCCTACCTCCTCCTACAGGGGGAGATGACGTAGGAGGACCCCTACCTCCTCCTATGGGGGAGATGTCGTAGGAGGAGCCCTACCTCCTCCAACAGGGGAGATGTCGTAGGAGGACCCCTACCTCCTCCTATGGGGGAGATGTCGTAGGAGGAGCCCTACCTCCTCCTACA